CACAGGACCCCCATGAATGTGGAAAAACCGCAAATAACAAAAACACCATGTTTTTATGTGAGAGAACGCTTCTCTAGGAAACTCCAGGTCCTCCACTGCAACTCTGTGGTCAACATCTGCCAGAAATTGACCATAGAGTCATGCTGGAGGAGCTATAAATGCCTAGCGGAGTTTTCTCTCTAGGAATCTCTAGGTCCTCCAGTGCAACTTTTGGTTAAAGTTGATCGTAGAGTTGCGCTGGAGGACTTAAGAGATTCCTAGAGAGAACATATTAATAAAATCCGTGAATAATCAAAGCCGCAAAAGTCCAGCGCAAAAACCGGTTTATTATGTAGCGTCAATCAGGCACTGTTTCGTGCATTTTGGATGTTTATATAGCCCTTCAAGAGTTAGCGAGAGAAGCTCTCAGGTTCCTAGAGCAGAGGAGGAGCGGCATCTTCCACTCATTCTGTCTTTTAAGAGTGAGCAAGAGGAGCGCTTCCTAGAGTGTCATCTTCAAGTCAGTCCTCCAAGGGTTAACAAGACATGCACTCAGATTCCTAGAGCGACGGGAGGAAGGGGCATCTTCCAGTCACTCAGCCCTTCCAAGGGTTAGCGAGACTAGCTCTCAGATTCCCAGAGTGGAGACTCCCAATCAGTCCTCCAACGGCCAGAGAGACGAGCACTCAGATTCCTAGATAGGCAGGAGTGTGTGTGTGGGGGGGAGGGCGTCTTCCATTCACTCAGCTCTTTAAGGATTAGCGAGAGGAGACGAGATTCCTAGAGTGGCTCCTCCCACTCAGTCCTCCAAGGGTTAGTAGAGAGGAAGACTCAGCTAATTCCTAGAGCGGCTGCAGTGGTGGGCAAGAGAGCTAAAAGGTGCATTGTCCAAAGGGGGAGGGGAAGGGAGTAGCCCCAAATGGCCTTTTATTATGAGGTTATAAGGGGAAAGAAGGGTGAAAGACCCCCTTTTGGTAACAAAGCTGGTGGGTGGGTGGGTGAGATGCATGGAAATTGGAAGGAGGGGGCTTGGTGCAGGACTGTGGGGTTATGGGGGGGCAGAAGAAAGGATGACCCTCCCAAAATTTGACTTTAATTGGCTGCAAAGCATTCTCCCACATCCACCACCTCTTAATCACCTATTAAGAGGTGATATAATAGCCCTGTTTAAGTATTTGAGGGGATGTCATTCTGAAGACGGACACCTGGCTTAACAAGACTGCGTGTGAAAGGGATCTAGGAGTCCTGGTAGACCACAAGTTGAACATGAGTCAAGAGTGTGATGCGGCAGCTAACAAGGCCAATGCAATTCTAGGCTGAATCAATGGGAGTATGGTGTCTAAATCAAGGGAAGTAATAGTCCTGGGTGACTTCAACTTTCCACTCGAGACCAGCTTGGAAAATCTGACAGGTGTGGCTTAGGAGTTCATGGAAACCATGACAAACATGGGCATATCCCAATTGGTCGTCGGGCCCACACATTGTGTGGGTCATACCCTCGATGCGGTCTTCAGTACGGAACAGGAGTATCTATGGGCGGAGGTTGTTAAAACCACCGCGTTGTTATGGACAGATCATTTCCTGGTCAAGATGGAACTGAGAGCCTCTAGCAACCTCACTGGGGGGGGTGGACCTATTAGAATGGTCTGCCCTCGAAGGCTAATGGAGCCAATTGGATTCCAGAAAGCCTTGGAGGGTTTAATGGTTGGTAATGCCGGTGATCCTGTTGAAGCTTTGGTTAATACTTGGAACACCGATCTTACCAAGGCTATTGACATGGTAGCTCCCAAGCGTCCTTTCCAACCCGCTTCTAATCGGAAATAATGGTATACAGCAGAGCTTAGAAAAATGAAGCGAGTTGGACAACGACTAGAGTGCACTTGGCGGAAAACTCGACTCTTATCTGACCAGACTCGTCATAGGAACTTTCTTTGGTCCTATTGGGAGTCAGTGCGTGCACAGAGATCATTCTGTTCTGCAGAGTCCCGTCCATCAGAGCTGTTTAGGGTGATGGGGGAGCTGACGCGGGTACCTCCTGCCCAGGTCCCGTTACTTAACCCGACAATGGCCTCCTGTGACGCGCTTAACAACTTTTTCGCAGATAAAATCTCTCAGATAAGAGCCGACTTAGATGCCAGTGTTTTGACAGAAACAATTGACGAGGTGTCCAGCGACTCCGTTAATGAAATTATTCTGGATCAGTTTCAGTCTGTGAATGCCGATGATGTGGACAAGCTCCTTGGTAAAGTGAGGAAAGCAACTTAGAATCATAGAATCATAGAGTTGGAAGAGACCACAAGGGCCATCCAGTCCAACCCCCTGCCATGCAGGAACTCCCAATCACCTCCCTTCATGGCTGGCCGTCTGGGAGGTGGATGCTTTGATGGTGTTCCTTACG